ACTTTCTAGTGGAGCTTTTTTTTTTTTAACTATTTAATTGTGAGATTTCTTTATATTAGATACTGTCTCTTTGTTGTGACTGTAATTTGCAGATTTCTTCTCCCAGTCTGTATTTTGTCTTTTCATCCTCACAGGGCATTTTCAGAGCAAGCATTTTTAATTTTGATGAGGTGCAATTTATCACCTTTACTGTTTATGGATGAGGCTTTTAGTGTCAAGTCTTAAGAACTCTGTCTAAACCAAATGTTTTCTCCTTCCCTCCTCCTCTTCTTTTTCTTCTTCCTCTTTTTTTTCCCGCTTCCTCTTTCTCCTCCCTTTCTCTTTTTCCGCTTTCTTCCTCTTCCTTTATCCTGTCATCCCTTTTATTCCTGTAGTTTTACATGTCTGTGGTCTGTTTTGAGTTATTTTTTCTTTTAGCCATTTATTTATTTAGAGTTTGTTTTCAATGCAGATGTTCCCATAACATGACGTTACTATGAATCAAAACATAAAACATACAGGTACAATATGCAATCCAAACAGGTACGCAGCATTCAGGTATGAAGCAAAAGGGAGTGTTCATTGACACACAGGAGCTTCAGGTCTGATTTCTTTCTGTGTAAGTTTCTAAAGACAGGGGAAAATGACTTGACTTATCAAGACTAGAGCAGTCCAGTTAGATCCTGGAACATGTAAGCGTCAATGTGTGACTGACTAGGTGAATACGAGTTCAGGGATTATTTTATTTTGTAAAAAGATTTCTGTAAAGATAGTTGTAAAAGATTTACTGCAAAATCAAGCCCTGTTTATGCCTTAGGGCCAGGAACATAAAGTGTTCTAAATGTGATCACTGTAGTCTGTAGTTTAAAAAAAAAAGTATTTATAGAAAGAGTATGAAAGTTTTTGAAAATTTAATGTAAGTTAACTTTTAGTCTTTCCTTCCCAAGTGCTTGATTTACAGTTTTGGCTCCTTTGTGTAGTTGCCTATTTCAAGATTTGTAATTTTATATGCAAAATAAACTGTATTTTTAATTGTCAAGAGTATTCAACAGCCAGGCATGATGGCACATGCCTGTAATCCCAGCACTTGGTAGGCTGAGGCAGGAGGATTGTCGTGAGTTTGGGACCAGTCTGGGCTGCATAGTGAGTTTAAGACCAGCCTGAGCCACATAGTGAGACCCTGTCTTAAAAAATAAAACAAACACACAAAAAAGAGTATTCAGCTTACATTGAAATAAAAATGCAGTATTTTGAAATTAGTTGAGGTCATTATAATTCTACCCTTAGGAATCAATTTAACTAAATGAAATGTTTTTGTTGTTGAATGAAAACAGGTAGTGGGAAAGGCCTACCCTTTAACTTTGTAAGGATAAGATTTACTCAAGATGCTTAGATTTGTCCTGGCACATGTTAGTTCCTGCACAAAAAGTCAAATGTGGCCTCAAATCCAGAGTCACAGAAGTGGCAAAATAAGAGTTTAGTTCCCAAGAGAACAGAAATAACTTAACAATGTGAAATTTTATCTAGAGGATATCAGCATTAAATAATTACTGCTGAAACAATACAGTGAGAACTTACGGGGGCTGGGGATTTAGCTCAGCGGCAAAAGCGCCTGCCTGGCAAGCGCAAGGTCGTGAGTTCGGTTCCTGGTACCGGAGAAAAACCGAAAAACCAAAAAAAAAAAAAAAATCAAACACAGTGAGAACTTACGGTAACACCTGATAGCTCCTTCTAATGCACGTATAGTCACAGAAGCTTTTTATATTATGTTTTATGGCCATAAAGATTTAGTCAACTAAATGGAAACTGAATCTCCAACCACATCCCCATCCTTTATTTCTAGGCAAAATCTATTCTTATTTTCAAGGTAGAGTTACGTGTCCATATGCCTTTGAGGAAATCATGTGTGAATTTGGGATGTTCTCTTTTCTCATCTTGTATGCAAAACTCCAGCAGAGGTACAGGGCTACATGGGGTAAAGCTAGAGTGAGAACCACTGACCGTAGGACATAGTTGGAGCTCAGTTTCTGGAGTATGGCTCAAGCCCCACCTCTTCCATCCCCAACAACCTCCCACTTTCTTAGCAAGGTGTTGAATCTTCCCTCAGCCCTGCCATCCCACCTAGCCCTCCTTCCCTGCCCAAGTGGGTCCTCACACACGCATTCTGTTCCCACACAGGAAGGTGTGTCCTTCTGCTCCCATCTGTGCTGCACACATGGCCATGTGTCCCTCTTGCTGCAGCTTGAGCTTCCCCCAGCCCAATACATGTCCTTATTACAGATAGGCTGGACACGGGACCATCACAGGGTGGCTGGACACAGAAGCTATGTTTCTTGGCCCTTACTCTTCTAGTTCTGGTTGTGTGGCAGAGGGGCTGCCTCAGTTGTTCTTGCAAAATCTCCCTGGCCTGACTTTTGTCTTGTTCTCTTCCTGTCTTATTTGTGGTGTCCTGTTTGTCATCTGAGTTTGCACAGATGGACATGTATCAGGCAAGCAGTGTGCTGGTATCAGGCAAGCAGTGTGCTGGAGGCTGGGTAGGCAGTGGTCCCACCAGAATTCTCTGGCCTGCAGTGAAATGGTTCAGGACCCCTCTAGGAGCAGGCTTGGGAGTGGGGGCCTAAGTGTGAGAAGCAGAGTGCTCTTGAATGGCCAGAGCAGGGCAGAGATGTACTGGTTTTTGGAAGACAGTCATGGCTGTGGAAACACTGCTTTAACCTCTTATTGAAAGGTGCTGTATCTTGGGATCTTTGCTCAACCACCAGGGTCAAGGCCTTGGTAGGTACTGACTGCCTGGTGCTTCAAATGAAAGCCAGTGTCCCCTGTTTGTACAGCCTTTAAATTTATCCATGATAATCCCTTCTTCCTAAACTGCTGCCAGATGACCAAGGGTTGGATATGAAGAAAGCTAGTTTTTGTGTTCAGATAACAAATAAGAATATTACTATACTAGGTAACAAGAGCAAAGTGGGAGGTGTCTTAATCCCAGACGTGAAGTTATATTACAAACCTACAGTGATAAAAACAACATACTGCTGGTACAAAAACAGGCATGAGGATCAGTGAAACAAAATAAAGGATGCATAAACAACCCCAAGCACATTCAACTATTTGCACTTTGACAAAAAGGCCAAAATATACTATGGAGGAAAATAGCCTTTGTAATAAATAATACTGGGAAAACTGGCTATCCATGTGCAGAAGATTGTATCTAGACCCATATCTCTCACCATATACTAAACTAAAAAGGATCAAAGAACTAAGTATTAAAGCAAACACTTAACTTGCTGGAAGATAAAATAGGTAAGACTCTTGAAGGCATAGGCATAGGCAAGGACTTTCTGAACAGAACCCCAGTGGCACAGGGAATAGTTCTGAGAATAAACAAATGGGATCACATCAAATTAAAAAGCTTCTGCACAGCAAAAGAAGCAACAGAGTGAAAAGACAACCAACAGCATGAGAAAAATTTTTTGCTAGCTATTATTCAGAGGATTAATATCTAGAGGATATAAAGAACTCACAAAGAAACTAGACCCCCACCCCAGTAAAAGACCCAGTCAAAAAATGGACAAATGAAATGAGTAGAGACTTCACAGAAGTACAAATGATCAAATACTTGAAGAAATGCTCAACGTCACTGGTCATTAGAGAAATCCAAGGTAAAACAACCATTTTCCCACCGAAAGAGAAGGGTAGGAAATCACATAATGCTGGCAAGGAACCTTTCTACACAGTTGGTAGGACTATAAACTAGTATAACCACTGTGGAAATCAATATGGAGATTCCTCAAAAAAACTAAAACTAGCTGGGCATGGTGGTGCACACCTGTAATCCCAGCACTCAGAACGCTGAAGCCAGCCTGGGCTATGTAATGAGTTTAGGGCCAGTCTGAACTACATAGTGAGACCCTGTCTCAAAAAAAAAAAAAAAAAAAAAAAAAAAAAAAAAAAACCACTAGAAATTCCATTTGACCCAGCTATCCCACTTCTAGATATCTTCCCTGAAGAGTTGAAGACATACCACAGTGATGCATGCATACTCTTGTTTGTAGTCATACAATTCACAATAGGTACGTCTTGGAAACAGCCTATGTCCATCAGCAGATGAATGGATGAAGAAAATGTGGTGTTTACACAAATGTAGTATTATTTGCCATAAAGAAAGATAAACTTGAGTCATTTATAGGAAAAAGATCCACCTTGAGGCAATAATGTAGAGTGAAATAACTCAAGCACACAAGCTTAAATATTGTATGATTCCTCTTACATGAGAAATCCAAATTGTAAATAAAGAACAAAATAAAAGACAGGTAATAGAAAGTAGGAAGAGTTTTCTCAAATGGGAGGGGATCAAGAGATGAAGGGAGGAGGAACTGATGGGGAGGGGAGGAGGAAAAGGGATGAAAAAAGGAATAAAGTGTGTTACGATGAAAAAAGGAAAAGAATAAAATGTGTTCATGTACTAACTACACAACAAAATAAACATTATGTACTGTAAATGTAATAAACTTTTGAAAGTCACTAAAAGTAAAGTAGAATGCTGAATAACTGTAAAAAAGAATATTATAATAACTCAAAAATTAGATGAATATGAGTGTGTCTATACTGGGATCATCTATGGGAGGAAACAACAATTTATTATTTTTGGAATTATACCATTTTGTTTCATACTGTATTAATGAACAAAGCTTTGATAGTTTTTCATAAAAGCTTTTTTAGTTTTTATAAACTCTTTATCCGAAGTGTAGAAGAAACATATATGTATTTATTGTATTTTAGACAACCTTAGTTTTTTCAGGTCTTTATTTGGTCCTACATGACAGAAACTCATAGGTAAAAAGTTCCTTCATTTTATAGTCAGGCAGGCTGAGGGAACAGGGCTGTGCAAAAATCAGGGGACCTGGTGCAAAGTCTCTGGTTTATTCTCTTACCTGCCCTTGTTCACAGTGTGTGGTATTCCCAAGAGATTGTAAATTCCTGCCTCCTGGTGACTTGTACTTGTTTTTCCTTGTATTTTGCAGAGCACTTCTGGTGAGATTGGAAGGATGTAGCCACCCAGTTGTCATGAAGGGCCTTTGTGCCGAATGTGGCCAGGACTTAACCCAGTAAGTGCCTGTGGGGAGCAGGGCACAGCACCCTCACAGTGTGATGTGGGTGGGGTGTGGGAAGCAGTATGGGGGCTCTGTGCAGGCCCTGTAGCCTCTGCCTTGGAGGGCAGGCACTCTTCCCTGCTTGCACTCAAGTCACACTGGTTTCCAAGGAACAGTCCTTTCTGTCTTTATTCTTCCATCTCTGAAGCCCCACCTTCTGCTGAGTGCACTCTTCAGGCATGACAGGAAAATGCCAGAGGATGGTTGTGGCTTGTTCTTATCCTTGAGGACGAAACCACAGTGGCCCCTGGAGTACCTCTTCGGAGGTGGTGTCCCTTACCCCCAGTCCTCCTTTCCCACGCTCTAGGCCAGCTGACTACTTGCACCAAGCAGTTTCTCTTCTCTGTTTGGCGTTGTAGGTGCCTGTCTCTGGACTCTGTATGTGTGTGTGTGTGTGTGTGTGTGTGTGTGTGTGGCGGGGGCTTTATTTTTCCATGTGACTTTGTAATTTATTTCCATGGAGAATTTTAATTGTGAGTATGACTGAATATGCCTGGCTATGGCTGTGACCTCTGTGCACCTTGACTGTGAGAGTGACCATGAGCTCAGTTTTTATATTTTTCTGTCTTCAGACTGTGGAGGATGTTCTTGTAGCTGCCCATGGAGCAGAGTTCTGTGCTGAGGTAACAGTATGTGTCAGCTACAGTGCGTGTTGAAATCCTGTCACTCATGGTTACATATGCCTTCTGTGTGCAGTTCCTCAAGTGCAGCTAATTTTTCATCTCATCTTTTTGCGTTCACAGGCTACAGAGCAAGAATGGGAAGCAGCATATGCCACTGTCCACAGCAACTGTGTCCATGGTCCACAGTGTGCCAGAGTTAATGGTGAGCTCTGAGGTAAGTAGGCACTAGGGTGCTGGGTTGTACAAGGCACTGGGACACCCGTCTGTAGTAGTAGTTTCTGAAGCATCCTTGCATCCGGTGGCTACAAGGTGTTGCCCTCCTGAGAAGTGGAGGGCTGCATGGTTTTGTTTTTCCTTTTCCTTCACAAACAAGTCTGCCCACATGAGTACCTGTAGAGGCTCTACAGCTGCCCGCCTCATGGGGAGGGAGCCTTCCTGGTGCTGTGACACACTCACCGGCTCAGGCTGGGTTTCTGTGAGCCAGATTCTAGCTGGAGAGACTATGATAGACACCTGGACACAGCACACTGTGGAGGCAGTGGTGTACCAAGAGGGTGTGCGGGACAGGCATGCAGGGAGAGCAGAGACAATGGGGACCAGTGAGGAGTGAGGATGATGGCACTCTTGGGCTGCCCAGCAGTGTGCATTGTCACTGGTGCCGGTGGAAGCCGTGGCTCAGACTGCTGTGGAAAGTGAGTGTACATGGATCCCTGGTGACAGCTGTAGTGCCGCTGGCCGAGAGCAGTGGAGCAACAGTCCTGTGTGCAGAGTTGGGAGCGGGGCACCATGTAGAAAATAGAACTTGGATGCTATTTCAGGCATCTAGTGGTTTTGGGATTTTGTTGTTGTTTGGTATCTCAGGAGTCACCCTGACAGCTCACATTTCCATAGGTGGGAGTTTGTGCGCTGTGGCAAGTGTGGGGTGTGCCCATCACCTAAGGACCAGGTTCTGCAACAGTTCTGTAACGTTCAGAGCTGTATTTTTATAAGTAGGGAAAACATTTTTCAGATTTGTGCTTTTAAATGATGTATACTAACTAGTGTTATTTTTGGTAGGAAAGGCAGAATCCCAAATACATACTTTTGTTTTTTTCCGAATTACTTTAAACAAATATAAGTATGTGTGTGTGTATAGTGAAAGCCAGAAAGTTTACGTTAGAAAGAGAAGAGTATGCATTCCTCCTATCGTGGCAGTACTATTTTTTTTTGTTTTTTTTTTTCTCCGGTACCGGGAACCGAACTCACGACCTTGCGCTTGCCAGGCAGGCGCTTTGCCGCTGAGCTAAATCCCCAGCCCTGTGGCAGTACTATTATATTAGCCTTTCTGAGTACTTCCTTTCAGGAATATGGCAGAAGTTCTCCTGTCTAACTTAATCTAGACCAGGAATTTGTCTGTGAATAACTAAATGCCAATTAAATTGAGAAGCATGATAGTCACCATGGTGTGTTTTACTTAATGAGTTATGTTGAGCCCTCTGTGGGAGATCAGGCCAGGACCCTTATCTGAGGAGAGCCCTGCCTTGGGCTTCAAGTATAGGTAACCCTGTTGCATTGTCTGAAACTCACCGGAGCTCATCAGATGAAGTGATTGGGATAAGCCCAAGGAGACCAAGCCTGGGGATTGTTGTTGGCTTCTGCCATCCCTTATATCTCTGGATATCTGGCCATTGGTTTATGTTTCTCCACCTTCCTTTCAGCTGAGCTTATTTTCTTTGTTAATTTTGAAGCTCAGGTTTATTAAGGTGGTCCAGGCATCTGGTTGAATTTTTATAGAGAAAACTATTTCATTTTCCTCATTTTCAGTGGTTTATACATTCAAATAAATTACAAAATCGTCACAACACAGTATGAACCAGACAGAACCGGCTATTGGCCAGTATGCAGCCTTAGTCAGTGGAAAGAGGCCCAGTTACAGCCAGCTGTGGGCCTCAAGTAATGTGTTGTCAGCCATAGTGAGATCCTGGGGATGTGAGGGCTTGGTTAGGAACATGTCGGTGTCCTTCTGTTCTCTTAGTGAAATTTTGGATGTTATTTTGGATCTAAATATATGTACTTGGTCATTTTTATTTTTTTTCTTTGTAACTCCAGCAAGCTGAAAAACTAGCAAGGGAAGATCAGCAACGACTACATCGAAACAGAAAACTAGTCCTCATGGTTGATTTGGACCAGACCCTAATCCACACGACAGAGCAGCACTGTCCACAGATGTCAAACAAAGTGAGTTTTGCCAGCTGTAACCAGGGTGGCTCTCCCAGATGCCCCACATTTCATCGTTCAATTCAAAAGTGCATTATCTTGTTTTTAAAGTTGGTTCTCATAGGTATGGCCAGATTTGGGGAACAGACTTGTCAGTCATACATATGACTTCAGGACAGATAGCCACTGCATCTGAGCCACTCCAGGTGACAGCGTAAGTGTGCTGTCACTGTTAGCATTTGCCAGGGATGTTATAGTAACATGGAGAAGTTTTGTGTGCAAGTCCTCACTTGCAGGTGTCAGCTGGCAAGTAAGGATTTGGAGACCTGTGAGGACAGTGGAGTGGGTGCCTCAGGAGTGTCACTGGAGGAGCAGTCTTGGGAAGATGCGCTGGTTGGGGTGCCTTGTATCTCTGAATATCTGGGTCAGGATACTTGGACCTCTGCTCAAGACAGCCTGGGCTGGAGATGAAAGTAGGAATCTTTGGGTAGCAGTTCTCCTGGGAAAAGTGACGAAAAGGGAAGGGGCCAAAAGTGGAACCCTGTTTCAGTGCATGTAAAACTTTCCCATAGTCTAGTTGCTTCTTTGGGATACAGCCAAGAAGTTGAGCTTCAGAAGCAAAAGGAGTTTGGTGCCTGTCACAAACTGCTCACCTGCAGGCCTATATTATGTATGCCATCACTAACAAGGAAGGCTTGTCAGTGTCGAGTTGCCATGTTTTAAAGATGTTAGCTGTTGAACAGATAAGATACAGCTCTTATTTTAAGGTCTTGGGTCTTCACAATGTAAAATGCTAATACTGCCTTGCAAGTGTTCTTTGACAGAAGAGGACTGAGCCTTGCTATGGCCAGGTGTAGAGTCAGGAAGATCATAGAAGATGGACCACACAGCCCAAGGGGGTTCCATTGCGGAGCCAGGGTCCCATACCATTAATAGTAGTATAGGCTTGGTAAAAATAAGTTAATGGCTTAGTAAATAAACCAGGTGATCTTTAATTTTCAGTGTTCTTTTCTGGAGGTTGAACTTGAATTTATGGCTAAAATTTCTCCACAGTGAAACTTAATATTTTGAATTGCTTTTGTATCATGAAATTTACCCAGAAATAAGCTATATTTTGTGCCATATAAGTAGTTACTATTTTCAGGTATTTCATTCATAGCAACTAAGTGTTCTGAAGGGCACACACATTCTTCACATGTATATACCAGCATATGATAGGTATTTTTTATGTTGCAACTTTGAAGTTTGGCATTTTAAGTTACTCTTAGAAGTGGTTTGAAGTAGTTCTTACAGGAGGGGGCGGTCCAGAAGATCATGTTGTTCTGTCTGCATGGAATGGTTTAGACGTGAGCAGGCCCCCACTAATACCAGTAGTTTCCAAGGTGCCCTCCACTTTACCTCTGTGCACATGGCTTGTGCTGGCCCACTGAGAGCAGAATTGCAAGGTTCACTGTGCCCAGTAAGAGCGCAGTGAAGCTGGGACATCTGCTGGCCACATGGGGAAAGACCATTGAATTCTTCGACCTGAAGATCTGGGCTTCTATTTTTAAATTTTACATTATTATTGTTGGACTTTCTGCTGTTGAGAGTGAGAGCTGTTACTTAAGTTTCACAGTCCTTAATCTTTAACCAAATTTGCTTCACCACTAGCAGTGTGATTAGTTAGATCTAGTAAAAATGTACTTGGACCTACTAGTTTTACCTTGTTAAGTTGTTAAAAGTAAATATTTTGTTGAGAAGATGATAAGCAAGATTAAGCGAATTAAAGTTTAACTCCCTAAAGAAAGTAGATGTATTTGCACATTAATCATGTAAGCCTGTTGGTATTATTAATTTCATCTGCCTGCAAGAGATAATCTAGAATATTATTTTAGTTTGTGTTGTAATTGTAAGCTTATAAAGCTGTCTTAAAGTCACCTGAGAGTATGACTTACCCTCAGTAGCAGCTCAAGAATCACCATTAACGCATTATGAAGGAATCTGTTTCAAGCTATCTGTTGTGCTTTTTGACAGGTAGTTAATAGCATGATTATTACAGTTTTAAGGGGTAGTTGTAGGCAGTTATAGTCAGTAGTTGTCATGAATAACTATTAAAGTTAGGAAGGGTAGCTATAAGTAGTTATTATAGGTGCTTATCATTACCATGGGTAGTTAACATTGCTATTTATTGTAGGTAGTTGTTACCATGAGTAGTTAGCATAGGTATTTACTGTAGGTAGTTGTCCTAGCTCTCAAAGTAGTTGTAAATATAGTGAGTAGTTATGTGGGCAGTTATTACATTTATCAAGTGTAGTTACTCTACGTAGTTACAGCAGGTTATAGTCATGCCTAGTCATTGTAGCTGTGGTGTAGTCATCATCGGTAGCTGTTGTAGGTGATTGTCATCATTACATGGGCAGTTAGCATTGTCAGTCATCTGGGGCATTGGTGTGTCTTTCTCATGGAGCATGCTTGGAAAGCTTCTTGCTCGGGAGTGTCAGGTCATAGGCTAGCTTCTTATGTGGGTTCTCTGTCCCCTTGTGCATCTCTGGACTTGTGCTGTGGACTCACAGTCTCAGGTACTGCCTTAGCAGTGCTCCCCAGGGCCTTCTCTTCTCACTGTCACTGCCTATTCTTTGCAGGGCATCTTTCACTTCCAGCTGGGCCGGGGCGAGCCGATGCTGCATACTCGCCTGCGTCCGCACTGCAAGGACTTCTTGGAGAAGATTGCCAAACTGTATGAGCTGCATGTCTTCACTTTTGGCAGCCGGCTGTATGCACACACCATTGCAGGTCAGTTAGCCACCTGATAATCCCGCAGCGTTTAGACTGTGAGTGTCTAGGTTTTGTTTTCTTAAAGATGAAGGAATCATACAGAAGGTCAGCCCTAGGGTTGACAATTGGCAGGGAGTCAGTAGGTGAGAAATTTAGCCATTTCAGCCCTGTGGGCTAATCATTGTGCTCAGGGCAAGTGCATCTGTGTGGGCCAGTTAAGAAGTTTGTGAGGACCATAGGTACATGGAACGATAGAAACTCTATACGAATGTACTTTTTTTATAAAACAATGGGCATACTTTTAAAATGTATTTTATTAACAGTTCAAAATGGCTTTAAACCCCTGTGCTTGGATGTTTTCACTTACTACTTTAACTGCCAAAGTGAGCAGCCTCATGACCTGGCTGGTGAAGGTTGCTTCTGATGTCTTGGTTGGACTTGAGCTGCTATGCTGCCCTGTCTTCTTTCTATGTGAGAAAGATTTGTAGTAGCCTGTGGTGCCCAGCAGGTGGCAGGACAATCTAGAGCCTGAGTGGAGGGGACAGAGCATGTATAACTTTCCCTCTGATCTACTGTAGCTGTGCACATTGCATTGTAGTGTGGTAGTAGTCCTTGAATGGCAATTGCAGTATTTAAAAATTCAAAAGTGTGTACAGATTGTCATCTTTTGTTGATGGAGAAGTGAATTTCAAATCTCTTTCGTGTTTAGTACCTTTATAGAAAAAAAATTTTGAGAGACTTTTTAAAAAAATGCACCTTTAGATTCATAGTAAAATTGAACAGAAAATATGAAGATTTTACATATACCCCCATCCCTACACATGCACTGCCTCCTTCACTATAAACATCCCCATGTCGTACGTTTTCTATAATTGGTAAGACTACACAGATACAGTGTTAATCAGAACATGTAAGCAGCAAGTTTAAATTAATTCATATTGTTGTAACTGAAATTCAGTGTGGCTTTTGTCTTTAATATTGTGACTGTTCTATAGCTGTCTGAAATATGACCTGAAGATTATGTAATAGGACATTATCAGACAGGTAAACATATAACCCCTGTTGTGGTCTAAATGCATGTTGAAAACCTAAGCAGAAAGATCAGATTGCTGGATGATGAGCTCAGGAGGTTATTTGATCATAAGGATTCTGTCTTTGTGAATAAAATGAGTGTACTTTTGAAGGAGACCACAGGGAGCCAGTGCATCCTCCATCCTGTGAGGTCATGGAGAAAAGGCACCACTGAGGAGGCGCCCCCCAGTACCTGGACCATGGGCTGTGAGATGCAAATTCCTGTGTTACAAACTCCCAGTTTTGTTATATTACTGTAACAGCCTAAACATGCTAAGATGCCCCACATGAAAATCCTTGCAGATGTGCATCTCAGGCCTACGTGCCTAGGCTTCCGTTGTGAACCATGCCTCTCTCTAGAAAGTAAATAACAGACAAAGGTCCAGGTTCAGTTAGATGATTAGGGCAGACATCAGCAGAGTGTGTTGAAGAAAGCATCCCAGTTACATGAGTTCTCTGGTGCTTTTGTTTTTAAATTTAAAATGTCATGGAAAGATTAAAAATTAGAAAATTACTCCTCTCTGTCAGCGTATCCACATGTATTCTTGTTCTCTTTGTTTTTCTGCATAATCTTACATAGTTTATGTGTGTGTGTGTATTTGTATCTATAAAGTGATGCATAGATGCATGTTGGGAACTGTTCTTTTCACATAAGATTACATCACTAAGGATTTGTTATGCTGTCACAAACCTGTAGTAGCTCATGTTACTGTATAACTTTCTTGAATAATTATTTTCATTCTGCTCTTTCATCATATGAAGAACATGCATTGAATGGCAAACATGAGTTTTGGGAGGCTGTTCCATTGGATGAATTCCTAGAACCAGAATTGTTGTGTTGCCTGATACAGAGCTTTATTCCTGGCAAGACTTAATTTGGTTTCATGTGAGGGTGGCCCCTCATGGGCCCACTCCAGGTGGTGTTAACCCAGTAACATGAGTGTCCAATTCTTGGTGAGACTTGAGTGTGTTGGTGGTTTTTCTTCTTCTCTCATATGCTTTGTACCTTGTTCTAGTAGCAATGCAAAAGTTTCTATTATGAAATTCTTTGAGATTTCCTTATTCATTTTTTAGATTACAGTTACTTAAGACAGTTATTATGCATGTCCTACAGTAAACCCAGTTCTGGTGGGCATCATCTTATTTTACTGATCTAAGCATGTAGATTACAGGATGAATACAGGGGAGGCTCAGGCTTGTTGATAATACCTGGTTACAGGAGATTTGGCCTCAGCACAGCCACATTATTGAGTTTCAGCTGGGGCACACCCTTGTCTCAGTCTCTCTGACATACAGGGCATGTGACAGTGCATCTGTTAACCCATGTTAACAAGGCCTCAGTATGGTGAAGGCAAAGCAGGTGGAAAGAACACCTTGCATCTCCATCAACCTGGAAGCTGGAGGGAAGGAGGCCTGGCATCATTTACAAGTTGAGCAGAGCATCTGCACTGCTCCTGTGCAGGTCACAGGCTGTGCTGCAGGAGCCTGCTGAGAGCTCTGAGCTACAGAGAGTGCAGGAAACGAGTCTTGCAGTGAGGCTGCCAGGTTTGTTGAGCACTTGCCACCTCTTCAGATGCCCTTGCTCCATCTCATGCTGTGCTTTCTGCATTAAAATCCCAGTATTCTAACCCATCCAAAGAATATTGGTCAAAATGAGACAATGATATCACAAGAAGCCTGCAGACCCATATCCCTATGAATATAGATACAAAAATCTCTCCCAGAATACTGGCACACCATATCCAGCAGCACTGAAAAGGATTGTGTTTTATGGCTGCCCACCAGAGCTTGTTGATGCCATCATACACATCCAGAGGGTTTGAGCCTTGGGAAACCTGGTTTGCAAGGCTGGTCCAGAGTGACTCTGAGCTGGGCACAGACAAGGTGAGCCTTTGTTGCTTGGCAGAATTGGGTCTTAAGAAGTTGATGATCATAGTATTTTATAGCTGGGAGGAATCCTGAACATTATCTAGGTCAGATTGCTTATTTGCAAGTTAGAAGATTTTTCACAAAGGTAGCTACTAATCTTTGTCTTTTAGCATATCTTAATTTTCCAAGTTACTGTTTGCATAGAATGTATACTTTGAGTATAATTAGCATAGACATGTTTAGTTTGGGGTGTTTTTCGTTTCTCTTATTTTGGAGACTATTCTCTTACCAAATTTTAGGTCAGGCCATTGGATGGCTATAGTTTTTACAGAGTAATACCCATTTCTTCTGTAAGAGCAAGTGTTGGCTGGCTGATGTGTCACACATCTGTGCTCCCAGCTGTGGGGAGGAGGCTGGCAGGAAGATCACAAGTTCAAAGGCAACCTGAGCAACGTAGCAAAATAAAACCAAGGCTGAGGTTATAATAGCACAAAAGTGCTTGGGTAGCATTCATGAGGCAGACAGACAAGAGAGCAAAAATGTTTTCTGTTAATGAAATTCTAAGGAATCTGTGGTATAAAAGAGCTGAAACCTGTCAGTGCTGAATTTGAAATATCTGGAGATGGTCACACAGAGCTACCTTCTTAAAAGAGCACAGTACCAGTGGTATAGACAGGCACAGGGAGGAGTCACCTGAAAGCCAGAGTGGAAAGCAGGGGTTGATACAGTGCAGTAGGATCTGTGTTGTAAAGGTGGATGTCCACGTTCCAGTTGGGGCATGCTAATAGACAGTGGGATGAGATTGTAAGCATTTCTTTTTGAGACTTTATGATTACAATGGATTTCCTTCTGAGTGTTTTATTTGGTTGGCAAAATTAAATTGTTCTACTCACATTGAACTTGATACCTCCAGTATATTTTACCATCTAAATAAATTGTCTGAAAACGTTTTCATTTAGCATGCCTGTTCCCACAAACTGATTCTTTTACTGTATATTCTAGGGTTCTTGTAATTTAAGTAGAGGTAATTTATTTTTTAAAAATCATTCCATATGATGGACCCTTGCAATTAAATTTAAAATTCTGTAATTTTATTAGGATAATTCTGTAGGCTTTAAGTTCAGATGAATTTAATTTATAGATCAGGAAGCCCAGAACAAAGGTAATCCCAAGAAGTCTCTGCCTGAGTTGTTCTAACAGTCATTTCTGAAATGAAATGGAAGATGTGTTTTTGCACATACCCTTGTCTTACTACCTTTACCAAATTCGAGTAGATACACTTGTCATTGTTGAGAACTTCAAGCTCTTTTGAGAATTAATACTTAAAAATTAAACTCACAATTAATAAGTGTCATGCGAAATGTAGGTGTCCAGTATAGTACAAGCAGATATTTTAGTATGACTAGCCAGTTAATATGTGATATAAGGAAAGTGATTATTCTCAGTTGATTCTATCAGGCAGTTTTTCTTGATTTTACCCAAACTTGCCAGCATTAGAATATGGTATGTCATAGTAGGAAGTAGGTGGACTGACTTTCCTGTGTATCTTAACTTCAATATGTGTGATTTAATACCATAGTCTTCCCTTAGCTACAGCTTTTCCTTTTGTAGAGAAGAGGGGATTATTATACTGACTCATGTATTTTCATTTACTCTTGGGCAACTGAGGTCTGAAAGTATTAAATGGAAAATTTCAGAAGTCAACAGTTTGCCAGACATGGTGGCACACACCTGTAATCCCAGCACCCGTGAGACTGAGGCAAGAGGATCGCCATGAGTTCAAAGTCATCCTGGACTACATAGTGAGACCTCCAAAGAAGCGGAGTTGATGTGTTCTAAATTGTGTGCCACTCTAACTGGCATCACAGAATCTTACACTCCCCTTCCGGGATGTGGATGATCCATCCCTTTGTCCCGCATATCCATGTTACATATACTTCCCACCCCCTGTCTTGGGTCACTGAGATCAACCCAAAGGTAGCAGCTCACATACACCAAAGAGAAGCTAAAAGTGTTTCCTTTCAGTGTCATCACCACAAGAAGGAGGAGGAGGGACAGTAGTGTAGTACAAAGTTTGGTTTGGTTTGATTTGATTTTGTGGTACTAGAGATTAAACCTAGGGCCTTTACACTGAGCTGCATTGTCAGCCCTTTCTTTGATTTTGAGACAGTGTCTTGCCCAGTTGCCCAGGTTGGGCTCGGACTTGTGTTCCTCCTGCCTCAGCCTGTTAGCGCTGGGATTTCAGATGTATGCCACCATGCCTGACTATAATATATTTTGAGAGAGACTGTATTCACCTGTTTTGTTACAGTCGGTTGTTATAGTTTGATTTTTTTGTTACCGTTGTTAATCTTAACAGTGCATAGTTTATAAGTTAAACATTAGAATAGGTAAGTGTGTATGGGGAAAAACATGGTGTACGTATAGATGAATACTCTCAAAAGGTTTAGGCATCCACACAGGGTCCTGAAACATGTATCCCCTGCAGAGAAGGGGGGACAGCTATATAATTCTGCTAGTATAATTTGAGAGAAAGAAGCCTTCATAATATTTTATCTGTTAGCTGTTACTAAGTATCTTAAATTACATCTAACAGCAGTGTACCACCTGCCTTGTGCTCGGGAAGGTAGTATTGGGCATGATGGAAAATAATTCAGTAAAGCACACAGACAATATAAAGTGAAGAATCACAGCTATCATTTATTGAGCTAGAATGATGATTTTCTTGCTCTGTTGAGAAGTACCTTGTATAATTTTATTGTAGCTGTTTAGCTTAGGCAACTAAATAGCTTATTACAAATTGTTTCAAATTAAGGTCATCATAGATATTACTATGATTCCGCTTGACAAGTTCTAGGTTACGGTAGAAGTAAAGGAGCCCAAGTGAGTGGGTCTTTGCTGGAAAGGGCATGAGGTGTGCACAAGAGTTGTGTACCAGGCTTGCTGCTCTGCAGAAACACTGCCAGTGGCACTCTGTAGCACTCTGCGCATCTCAGAGGTACAACCTTTGTTCTGTTTTCTTTTTACAGGCTTTTTAGATCCTGAAAAGAAGCTTTTTTCTCATCGAATATTGTCAAGGGATGAATGTATTGACCCATTTTCTAAAACAGGAAACCTTAGGTATGTTCACAACCAAGTTCATCACTAAGACAATTCACTGTTTACTTCCCATTCCAAAAATTGCATTTTGAGAATTAGAGTGATAATTGTCTATATAATGTTTTCTAAGAATTTAACCTGGCTCTCCAGTTTTCAGTGTTACTCTCAGCATACTTAGAAAAGTTTGTCTCCCTACTACATACAAAGCCCTAGGTTCAATCCCCAGCACCACCAAAATTTAATTAATAAATAAAATAGAAAGATTTTTTTCTCACCCAGACACTCTCCTGTGTGGGTCACGCTGCAGGTGCTTAAGCCCCAGGCCGCTGGGTCTTCTAGCTGTACTCTGTGCCCTGCCAGCCCCTCACCCTGGCCCAGCGCTCACAGAGCTGCTCTGCATAGGCTCTTGTTCCTTTTGCCAGTGCTGGTGTAGTGCTTATCCTGCCTAGGCTCTATGTAGATAACACAGCTTCCATCTTAGCACTTGCCTTTGCATGTTTTACCTTCCATAACTTTGACTTCACCAGTGAGGCCTGGGCAGTGAGGCCTTAGATTTCAGAGGCCTGTAGTTGAAACTCAAAGCTGCAGAAGCAGGAAGCGTAAGTGAATTTCCCATGGTAGTCCAATTGTAAAGTCATTGCCCTCTTTCCTCCTAATATCTGTGGAATACCTGGGGCTCATGGGGATCTTGGGGACTGTACCTTTAGAGCTGAAATCCAGGCTGGAATGGCTTAAGGAGGGGCTTGACATGTTTGAAGTAGCACTGCAACCATGTTGACTGAGTCAGAGCTTCAGTCTTGCCGCATATAAACTCAGCTGTTTCTGAGCTTTGAATTTAAACATAAAGACACCAGCACTGGCATAACTTTTGAGCAGCTCACATGCAGTTCGTCCTGCTAATAATTTATACAAATCCTATATTAAATGACCATATAGTGCATATTTCTGGCTGTTTCCATTTCTTACTTTCTATCAACTGTCCATCCCTTCCCATCACCTCTTCTGAGTTTTTATGACAAGGCTGGCTCCTCCCCTCTCCTCCTTGAAAGGCTGTTTTATATCCTCAAAAATTTCTTGCTCACTGTGTACAAGGAATCTTCCAGTTTCCACTAAGAAAGGGCTGTGACCATGTTTCTCACATTGTATCAAGTGCAGCATGTTTTCATGCTAATTCGTATCTTGGGAGACAGCAGCTTTGTATCAGTAGTTCAGCTGATACAGGCACCCTCCTCTAAAGTTTTGTTGATTGGGGATCCACAGAGTTTTGAGACCTGTGCAAGGTAATATTAACTAAGAATCTGAGGTATTTATTTCTAAAATAGACCTCTTCTTTGCTAGTTAGCAGCTGAGTGAACAGATTGATGACAAAAGAAAAGAAAGAGTTGGTGATTTGTTAGAGGGGAAAACTACCTGAAGATAAGAATGTTAGACTCAAAAGAGAACAGTCAAAAAAAAAAAAAAAAAAAACCAAAAAACCAGTCTCAACGAAGCACAGACGATGGGTGCTGTGTCTTGCGTAGAGTTGTACTTCAACTTACGAAGTGCCACATATGCTGCAGTTGAATCTGTTTTCTGGCCATTAGGCTATCTAGCTGTGTTTGTAAATAAAGTATTATTGAGACTTGACTGGCCAGGCATGGTGGTATATACCTGTAATTCCAGTGCTTGGGAGGCTGAGGCGGGAGGATCACTGCGAATTCAAGGCCAATTGCCTTGAACATTGTTGAAACCCTGTCTCAAAAAGATATATGGATGGATGGATGGATGGATGGATGGATGGGTAGAAGGCAGAAAGGAAGGAAGGAAGGAAGGAAGAAAAGAAGGAAGGAGAGAAGGAGAGAGGGAGAGAGGGAGAGAGGGAAAGAGGGAAAGAAGGAAAGAAGGAGAGAAACAAACAAACTTGGCCAGGCCCTTTTGCTTTTGTTGACAAGACTTTACAGATTGAGTTACAATCCTATGGCTGATAAAGCCTAAAATATTTATTATCTGACTCTTTAAGAAACAGTTTGCTGACCTTTTTTTAAAGAAGAAACAGAAACAATGGAGAAAAATGCAATAATTTTAATGTTTCTCTCTGAAAATGAGAATTTAAATAGGAGCTAAATAAAAGCACTTCATTATAGTTTACATCTTTGTCACGAATCTGCTCTCTGCTCACTACTTGTGGATGAGACCAGGTCCTAAACTGCTTTTTGCCTAGACAAAATTAAAGATTATTATAATTTCTGATTAATATTTTGTGTAAATTGCACATTTTTACTTTTAGAAATCTCTTTCCTTGTGGAGACTCAATGGTTTGCATTATTGATGACCGAGAAGATGTCTGGAAGTTTGCCCCCAACCTTATAACTGTGAAGAAATATGTGTACTTCCCAGGCACAGGTGATGTGAATGCACCCCTTGGGTCCCGGGAATCTCAGATGAGAAAGAAAGGTGGGTGACCTTCTTTAATTAATTAATACGTGTTTTAATTTAATGTTTAGCTTTACTTCTTATATCTATTTTGGCTGCCGTAAATTCAAGATTTACTTTGTTTTTTATTTGTACTTAAACCTTCTAGAAGTTAGGGTATTTAATACTGAAAAGCTAAATGCACATGAATTCTACATTTCATTTCACTTTTCCTTAAACACACCTCCTTCCTTAGTGTGAACAAGGTGTGAGATATGCTCCTTTTGTAAGAACTGTCCTCAGAACACAGGGACTTAGGCTGTCCCTGCCTGGAACCAAAAGGGATCCATGCATCTGTCAGGCAAACGTGAGCCTGGGTCTGACCTAAGAAATTGAAAGGTTTTGGTTTTAAGTGTTTCCGATAATCTTTAGTTTAAAAACAAAATATTTTGACACAGTTGCTGTAGTCACTAAGATGGAACTTAGACATCAAGGCAAGGAAGAAATAAAGCCAAAGGCCTTCTTACAGAAGGTACACAATGGGAACATCACTGGACAGACTTGTCAAGTCCATCTGCATGTGTTGTTTTGTTTTTTTTTTTTTGGTTTTTCTCCGGTACCAGGAACCGAACTCACGACCTTGTACTTGCCAGGCAGGCGCTTTGCCGCTGAGCTAAATCCCCAGCCCCATCTGCATGTGTTGTAAGAGCAAAGGTTGCTTACTGTGTGGACATTAAGTGTCCCATGACCAAATTTAGAGGCTGGATAATGCAAACTTTACAGCAGTGTGGTATAGTTTTGAAAGTTGTTTAACATTAGGTAACAGTAACTTTTTCTTTTGTGTACATATTTAGTAAACCATTCTTCTAAAAGTACGGATGTCTTGGAACAAGTTCCATCTGTGAAAGACCCTGAGGAAGGCAGACGCATTCCTGGGGTGGAGCAGAACAATGGCCTGGGGAAGCCTACCCGGGAGCTAAATGGCAATGAGGCTGGGCCAGAGGCTGCTGGTAAGGCAGATGAGAGGGACTCCTGGCCCCCTGATCGGGCGCCCTCCTCCATCAGCCCTAGCAACTGTGAGCTGGCAGATGCTCCCGAGCACCAGGTGTCCTGTGAACAGGGTGGTGAGACCTCACCGGAGGCACAGCCTTCTCAGGGAACCCCTGGCACAGATTTGGATTTTGACTTGTCCAGTGACAGTGAGAGCAGTGAGTCAGAAGGTCAGAAGTCCTCTACCTCTGATGGGGAAAATGAGGAGAAGAAAGGCCGGAAAAAGGCTCCAGCCACCCAAGATGGAGCAAGAATATCACAACAGGGGGGTGCTGCTGACACGGGTGGGGGAAAACTTGAAGGAGCGGGGCCCACCGGAGAGTCTGGGGCTGGAGTCCCTGTGTACAACAAAGGGCCAGATCTGGACATTCAGGAGGAGAGTGAGCGGGATGGCCTCTGTGGCCTGGGCAACGGCTGTGTGGACAAGAAAGAGGCTGAGACAGAGTCACAGAACAGCGAGCAGTCAGGCATCACCGCAGGTGAGTCCTTGGACCAGAGCGTAGAGGAGGAGGAGGAGGACACAGATGATGATGACCACCTGATACACCTCGAGGAGATCCTTGTACGTGTCCACACTGATTATTACACAAAATATGATAGATACCTCAACAAGGAGCTTGAGGAAGCCCCAGATATCCGGAAGATAGTTCCTGAACTCAAGAGTAAGGTGCTGGCGGATGTGACTGTGATATTCAGTGGACTGCACCCAACGAACTTCCCAGTAGAGAAGACTCGGGAGCACTACCATGCCACAGCCCTGGGTGCCAAGGTCCTGACCCAACTGGTGCTGAGCCCCGATGCCCCTGACAGGGCCACCCACCTGATTGCAGCCCGGTCTGGTAAGCAACGCCCTCCTGTGCCTTTGTAGATAGGAACACAAGTCTCTGAGTTCAGTGGTGATCCCTGTCCTTGAGACTAGAACGGTAACCTTTTAAGAATAGATTGATGACTATCTCCTGGTGAAATTCTTGGCCTGTATGTGTTACATCTGCCTCATGTGTGCTCATTGAGTGCACATACATGCTCACTTACACTTGCTGTCTTGGGTTAGAGCTGTCGCCAGAAGTGTCAGGTGGACTGGGAGACTCGACGTTAGTGTTACCCTGGAGAAATTAAGATCAAAGAGTGGTTAGGGCCTCAGTTTGGCAGGTGAAAGATGAGCTAACCTTCTGAGTTAGAAAACCAAATGCAGTGTTTCAACTAGAGTGAAAAATACAGTCTGCTGCCTCCTTTCAAAACAGTCCTCTTCAGTGTGTGCTTCCTCTGTTACTTGTCAGGTAAAACAGAGCTTTTCAGTAGTGGGCAAATCTTGAAGGAATGATTATTCCTGGCTGCTTAAAAAAATTCATTACTTTTAAAAATGCTCCTCATAAGCAATTTTGATTTTTCCTAGATAAAGAGTCCCCGACCACTTGCAGTTCTGTTTATTCTGTTATTCATCTCATGATTACAGTCAGTAAATTAGGGTTTCTAAATACTTACCTTGTCCTCTAGTGTCAGCATAGCTGTGTCAAGGTAGCTAACCTCCTGGCCAGGCTCAGTGAGGGCCAGTGTGGTCTTTGATGACTCTGTGGTTTTATTCTGTGTCACATGCTCAGTAAAGCATTGAATAGAGGGCAGTGGAAGGTACCCCTCTCATGGTGCCATCCAAGGTCAGAGGCAGGCTCTTTGAACCCAGCCAAATCCTCTGTCTCAGAAGAAATCCCAATCTTCAGGCCCCCTCAGAGACCCTGGGGCACTTTCTCACCTGAACATGGAGACAGTGCAGGTCAAGACAGTGCAGACACCTTGAGCGCTTTCATAGATACCTCTGCAGTCCAGAGACTCCCTAGTGCTGACCCTCTCCTGGTCCTGGAGCTTGTGGACACCTGTTTGATGACAAGGACAAGAGCTGCTGTGATTTCTTTTTGCTTTTGTGTTTATAACCTCCCATGAGGTAGCTGGGACATGTTATCTCTCTGTGGTAGGGTTTTGTCTCTGAGGAAAATGATTCCTAGAGACTTAGCTGACCAGAGTCATGACTGGCCACCTCATGTTACAGGGATCACTGTGAAAGGTACAGGCTATATATTCCAAGACCCGGGACAGGGCAGGGTCAGCTGGAGCCTAAACAGGGAGCCACCAGGAAGGAGGTAGATGGAAAAGAGTTCTCCAGGGTCCAGAGAGCTAGAGAAAGCACCAGCTCAGGACCATGAGGTGTACAGAGGGCAGAAGGCAAGACTGGTGAGAAGTGAGGACAAGGGCAGAAAACCAACAGGTCCTGTGGTACAGTAAGGCTAGAGAGACTAGGACAGATTTAAGTCACCTGGGGAAGAATTGACAGGACCTGTGGATGGATCCAGGGACAGAGTGGCTTGGGATCGAGGTGAGAGATAGCCCTGGTGGATGTGGTTTGAGTGCTCTCTACAGGGAAAATTCAAAATAATGGTAGGCGATTAGGTACAGAAATCATACTGGTGGAGTTTGGGCCCTGAAGCTGGCAATTAAAGTAGATATACTCTGGGAGCCTGGCCTCCCGGCTTTCTGCTGGGGTGGAGTGGAGACGTGGCCTTGCACACAGCTCCCTGCAGACCCATCCCGAGGGCCTCCCAGTCGCTGGGTCTGTGTTCTAGGCGCTCCTCTCCCGGTGCAAGAACAGTCTGATATGTGGTCTCTGCAGGCACAGAGAAGGTACGCCAGGCACAGGAGTGCAGGCACCTGCATGTGGTCAGCCCTGACTGGCTGTGGAGCTGCCTAGAGCGCTGGGACAAGGTGGAGGAACAACTCTTCCCCCTCACAGACGACGACACCCGGGCACACAGGTAGGTGTCTTTGCCCTTGGATCCATGCTGTGTGGTCCTTGTCCATGGTGTGCTGCTCCCTACCTGGATGGCTCTGGTGATGATGGGTCCTCTGGGACCCTGACCACAGGCCAGCTTTCATGTACATGGCTGTATTTCGTCTGCTTGACGGCCATGCTTTACAAGTGGGAAACTGAGGCTAAGGCTTGGGATGTCTGTACAGGGTCCATAGCACCCAGCCCTCAAGGCTGCACAGTTGTGCAGGCAGGGCGCGGCCTGTGTACCCTTGCGGTTCCTGTAGTGTAGTGGTTATTACATTTGCCTCACATCCTGTGTGCCCTGCCATTCCCCTCTTCCCCCAGCAGGCTGACCCTGTGACTCCCTGTGAACTCAGAGAAGATGGAGGACTGTTTTTTTTTCTTTTATTTCAACAAAATGCAATATGGCTTTCAGTGCTGAACCTTAATCTGCATGTTTTTTCAGGATGGGGAGGATTACATGAATTAAAGGTTATTACAGATCTTAGGACAAAGAGAGAGGTTATTCCAGATTTTAGAACAAAGAGAAAGAATGGTAGGATGGAAGCTTCCGGGCAGATGTGCGAAAGTAGGTACTCAAAGGAGGAGGTATAGAAGAAAAAATGAAAATTCCTATCTTTTATGTATTACTGGGAAGAGACATGTATGTTGAGAAAGTAGATAGTGTAAAAATTTCATGTCTGTTAAGAACATCTCTGGTCTTTGTCAGCAGTCTGGCCATTGTGTCAGGGTCAGGCTCAGGTAGATGTCAGAACAACTGAGGATAAAAGAAAAAAAAATCATCCAGCAAAGGCAAGTGCCTCAACCCAGTGGGAGGCTGGTTCCCAGGAAGGTCCAGGTCTGCACAACAGGTGTGGTAGATGCTAATGATTGAGAAATCACCACTTCTTTACAGTATGCACCATTGTGTTGGTCTGTACATTGTCAGGTCCTAGTATTTGGAAGTGCACATTTTCCATCCAAGCAGCTCAGTCAGGAACTGAGGGAGCTTTTGGCAAAGCGATGACAGTCGGTGTTTGTCCCTGAGCACACCCTCCCATCTTTGCGTTGGTGTCCTTGCATTCCTGTATCCGTATCCCCTACGTCCCTGTCCCTCATATCCATATCAGTGTCCCTGTCCCCACACCCTGTATTGGTACCAGTGCTACTCTCATGGCCCTTGCTTTTTCCATCCAACAGGGAGAACAGCCCAGCAGCTTTTCCTGACAGGCAGAATGTGATTCCAGCAGTCTTATTCCACCCAACGCCCATCCATCCCAAGGCCCAGCCTGGCCCCGAGGTCCGAATCTACGATTCTAACACCGGGAAGCTCATCAGAATGGGTGTGCAGGGCCCTGTGCCGGGGCCCTCCGGTTCCCTGCCTATCCACAGGGAGCCCACCTCCTTCAGGTACATTGTGGCACCTGAGAGCTTCCTTTGCTGGCAAGAACTGGCATCCGAAGTTGTTTTAAGTTGCCTCATCCTGTGTAGGGGAGCATATTAAGTACTTGCCGTGGGAAATGTAACATTAAAGGCTCTGGTTAATCCTGAATACAAGTTGAGCAGCCTGGATGAGACAAGATTCCCAGTTTGTGGAAACACCAACCCCACACACACGCCTTACTCTGATTCTCTTTTGTTTACTCTTCTATTTTGTGTTGGATTATAAAACTAAAAGCAGAAGAACCATTGATTTAGCCTGCAGCATATCGTGCACAAGCCCTCAGCCCCTCCAGGTGCCACCAGGGTGGCCCAGAGAGAGACTGTCCTTGGGTGCCCAGCAGAGGAGAGCCCCATAGGGCTATGCTGACCCTCTCTGCCATCCAGGTCTAGGCATGATGTCCTGAGTCATCTTGCTCTGTTCCTACTTGTTCAGAGAAACTTGGGAGTTACACAAGTGACACTTTGCGGGGGTGGGCATAGGATGAAAGACATAACAGGATCAGAAGGCATTTGGTGGAGGATCAGTGCTGCCCACGAGAAAGGGGTCCTTCCTATACAGCTGTGCCTGTGCCCTCCCTCCTCCCTCTGCATGAGGTTGAGTTAGTCCTGCACCCGAAACCAAGCCCTGCTCACCACCCATGCATAGCCAAAGCACACCATACAGATTTTGTACAGTGGGTATTTATGCTCTAAAAAATTCCCATGGTTGGCCCATAGTCACCTGACCATTCCTTTTTTCCTTTGTGAGAGCACCCCTGCCTACTGGGAGTTGCCCACACCCAGCAGCCTAGAGGTTAAAATGGCATTAGCTCTGTCCTGGGCTGCAAGTGGGCCCTGGCATATTTCCCAGTGTTTTTTAGGGCTGGGCAGAAACTCAGACCCATGTCCATACCCTCTGGCCTCTGTGACACTGCACAGGTGCTATGAATCAGGGTTAGCATAAACAGAAAGGTTCAGGACTCGGAGGGTGGCTCTCGCCCTCTTTCTAGACATCAACATAGCCTTGGCCAGCCCCAGAATGCAGCTGTTATTATGTGATTTCAAACCACAAGCATCATCATTACTTCTGTTTTCATTCAATAATGTAATGTTTAGTTATTTATGTATTTGGATTATGACTGTGTGCTGTTGCTCATATTCCTGTGGAATCACTTTCCTGAGGTGGGATTGCTGAGGTAAAAGTCATATGTATTTTTAGCTTTAATAGGTGGTGTTGGTATTTTGCCAAAAATGGTTTGCAGTTCACCCTGCCCCCAGTAGGATAGAACTTCTGTGTCCTGCAGAAATGTGTGGGCTGGGTCATGTCATAGTGTGCTTCTTCAGAGCTGTGCAACTTGCCAAGGTAATGAATAACAAGAGGTTCACAGGCCAGCCTCTGTGGATGAGGGTTAGCTACTTGGATTGCACTTTAGTGAGTTGCCTTTATATATGTTTAACTTACCCTTTTTTCTGTTAAGTTTTTAAAATTTTTTGTGCTTTGCCCCTTCTACAAAAGTTTACTGTAAGTTAAAATATTCTAAAAATACTAATATTTGTAGGAGGGATGTTTCAACAGTGCTATTCAACTGTATTCTTAATTCTATTTTGAGTAATATGGAAAGTTAAGTATTTTTCTTTGTAGTTAACATCTTTGGTGCAAATGTTTTTAAGTGCTATCCATCAAATTGTGTATAGATTCACAGTAAAATTTTTCTTGAAATATTTTTCAAAATGGATTCCCCCCCAGAAGGTACTGTAAATTAAATAAACCTAGGGATAAGTTTTACATATTTTTAAAAATATAACTGTATCTCATAACACAAGTACAGAGTACACCTTTGGACAGTCTTCTACCAGAGCCACAGCTAAGCCACATGCTGCTCAAGGTCTAGTCCTATTGGTCCTATTGAACCATTTCTTAAAACTTGAATGTATGGCTGGGGCTGTAGCTCAATGGTAGAGCACTTGCCTGCCATTTACAAGGCCCTGGATTTGATCCCTAGCATTGCAAAAAGAAGAAAAGAATTAAATGTATATGGTTTTCCATTTGTTCAAAGGAGACCATGCTTCATCACCATGTAGTGTTATGTATTATATACATTTATTTTTATCAAAATGTCTTAATATGATGAGCTTGTCCTCATTTCTGAGGTATCTTGGGTTTAAGAAAAAACAGGATGGATGCAACTGGACTGGGTAGGGCATGGGGGGCATGTGCTGGCCATGTGAGTTCTGCTTCTGGCAAGTTTGAGGCAGAAGAGCTGTCTTGATGTTGCACTTAACACTAGAGAGTTTGAAAATTCTCTTCTCAAACCAAGCAGTAGTGGGGACTCTTCACCACCTGGGGTACTGATGTCTTACCTGCTTTCTGCTTCTCTGCCGTGCGTTAGCAGATACCTGACACATACACTGCACAGGAGAGAACTCACTGGGGTCTGCACAGGTGGTGCTGTGAACCGATGGGCATGTTCATGTGTGTTTTCATGAGATACAGGGTTGGGCCTTGGAGGACTGGGTGGGGTTAGTAGATTTTAAACAAACTTTGGCCACATCTGATAGCAGATACCACATGTGGAAACTGGTAAAACCACATGGTACAAGATCAGAACTATACCCAGCAACTAAGAAGTAGGCAGGCTTCAGGGCCTGTACTTGAACTTCACATGTGACACAGAAGCCCCTGGGTTAGGAGACTGAGCAGTTGTGCTCTGGTGAACCAGCTAGTGGCTGGGCCAGGAGGCAGCAGGTAAGGCCTTTCCAGGTGTATGACGTGAGTAGATGCTCACAAGAGAGGAGACCCTGATACCAGTAAGCGTAAGGAAAAGTATTCTGCCTGTGGGCATCAGGGAGGCGTGATCGATACAGCCCACGTGTTTCACAAAGTGAATTAACACACAGTTAAAAGTGATCATTCCAAAGCCAGCCCTTCATGCAAGGGATGAAGTGTCCTGTGTTTTGCCTAAGGGTCCATAAACAGGCTCAGCATTCGGGGGAAGTTCTGTCAGTGTTTACTGAGGTGCCTGCCTCTTGACCTGTGGTCTCACTTTAGGAATCTGTGCCCTAGAAATGAGTGTGCTAGCATAAGGTTCTCTGCCTGTGGATGATCTGGGGTTCTGGGGAGAGAGCAGTTTTTACTGTCCTGCTGAAGATAACTGTCAGAGCTGTGGCCACAGGAAGCAGCTGTGTGGAGGCACCAAAAAGTGATCCCCATAGCCCACATCTGTCCTGGTCCTGTCCCTAGGGGCATCCCCCCACTGTGGCTGAGTGGCAGTAGAGGTTGTATGTTCCTGGGCTCAGGAGTCCTGCAGGGAGTTAAGGCTGTCAGAGTAGCTGGAATTGAGGAAAACCAAAACCCAAGAGAGGAAGAGACAAGAAGGAATCTGGTGACCTACAGGCTCACTTGTGGTTCTTTGGCTAGGCACATGTTGCAAGAGCCTCAGCCAAAAATAGCAGCAGTAGGGGTGAGTGCCTTCAGAATACTCACAGTGGACAGCTCAGTAAGGGAGAATGGTGCACAACATTAGTAAGAAGATGAAAAATTCAAAACAACACAGGAAAAATCTCAGGAGAGGTTCATGGACCCAGTCCTCAAAGGTCATGAGCACAGGATCTTCCATACCCATGGACTTGGTATATGCCCCTCTGACATGCTCAGAACCTACTGTTGGGTTTTATGGGAGCCCCATTTCATAGGTGTGGTTGAATCATTGGTCGTTAGTATACTAGCTCAATCCCTAGCCACCCTCTGCCTGGAGGTCAGAGCCTATGCCAGGCAGGAGATTCCAGTCCTCTCTCTAGGCCTTGGTCTGTCTGGTGATGAGCCCCATTCTGTTTGTTTTTGTTTTTGTTTTTCCGGTACCAGGAATCGAAGTCACAGCCTTGTGCTTGCCAGCCCCGATCAGCCCCATTCTGAAGCTGTCTATTAGTACACGGCTTAGAAATGCCAGGGTGTTGTAATCACAGACTGGGACCAAAGATCTGCTGATGATACCTCAGAATTTAACCTTTAGGCATCAGCATCTTAATGGTCAAGAGTCGTGTTTTCTCTTGTAGGCCGTGTTCTGCAGTATATCATAACCTGACCAGTTGAATCATGATGAGTGAAAAGATCTGAAGGTTGGAGGAATCCTTCTGAAATTCACTTTCTAAATTGCAGTTGTATAGCAGTATCTACAGAATTTAAAGCGATCATAAAAATCATCATGTGCTGATGTGTACATGAGGAATACCTGTTGAGAATGTGCTGTTCACTGTGTTGGAAACAAAATCACAACTTTTTACTTACTTTTCCTTAAACATAAAAACAACAGAAAAAAGCACGTTGTCTTAAACTGTATGGAGTAGTTAAAGATGAGGTACAAAATTGTTTTTTTAATTATTCAGCCTTGTTTAATGTATGTGCCAGTAGACCAGGAATTTCTAAGATAAGTGAAAAGCAGTAATTAAGTGCTGTCTGAAAACAATTTGCTTATGGTAAGCTGAGCCTGAAAAAAGTTGAGCACTTCCTCTCTCCTTCAAGAGCTAATAATATGACAGCAGATAACCACATGTTTGTTCTTACATATGGACACTGTAGCTCGGTTTCACTTGATTGTGGAGCAACATTATGCTGGGCCAGTCCTGAGGGAGCTACCACAGCTGCAACTCAGCCAGGCCAGCTGACTCTTGATGTTTTTTGTGGATCTGCAAGTGTGATTTGTACCGAGGTGCTAATTTTAATACTGCCCGCCCATATTGATCATACAACTTTTGTACTGGAAAATAACATTGCACATCCAAGCTAGCAGAGTGTCACAGTCTAGTACATATGTCAGAGAGGTTTCTGCATAATCTTCGTCAGATGAAGTTAATCAAGGTTTACACTCTATGAATATATAGGAAGCTATGTGTCATCCTGGAATTAATATGTTGGTACTATTTGTTGATAGTTCTTTTTTGAAAATTAACAAAAATGACTAATTTGTATAAACAGGAAGGAATCTCTGGCT